GATGCTCATTTAATCCCTGGAAAAAAATAATTCAATGAAAATGATTAAACTTATATTTTGCTAACGTACAAGTTATTTTAACTGATGATATGAATAATTCTGCTGGCAGAACTGAGCAGCGACCTGTTACAACATCTGCCACACGCTATTTAAGAAAGAAAACTTCTTTTTGACTTGCAACACACAGTTTATGCACATGATTGTGTGGGGCATTAGCTGCAATATATCTCTGAGGTAAGTGTGAATGAATAACAGTGATCTTTAAAAGTTAAGAAAAAGACTGTAATAACTTAGTGGACAATAGCAGAGATATTTATAAGTTCTTTCCAGCTAACAGCTCATAATGCTACTAAGTCTAACAAGTAAGTGCTTCATCTGCATAATAAACCTTGCTAGGACCTAACAAGTAAGTGCTTCATCTATGTAATAAACCTTGTTAGGACCCCAAAATTCAAGAGCATTTGCAACTGCGCAGTCACTTATACATTTACCTTTGCTTAAATAGTCAATAACTAAATGAACAGAATGACTTCCCCCCAAAAATGAAAGTCAGTTAATTCTGATCACCTCCCTTTTCTGAGCAAGAGATGAGGAACATGGTTCTCCCCATGTTTGCGCAAATAATGCTTTGACCCATGGTTGCAACTGTAAGATTTGCCCACTGGGAAAAAAAAAAGTGTATGAGAATATATAAAATACACCAAAACCTATATATACCTTTTCTCATGCTATGATGTTATAAAACTATCTTCTTGTGTGTTACATATGTGGTTTGTATTCGCTTTGAACCACTACATAACCACGGTATTATACAATGTTCTACAGGTGGTTAAATGCACCCATCAGTTTCTTTACTTTCATCTTTCAAACAGCATTTACAAACTGAACAAAGTAGCAAAGCTTTCTTGTTCCTCAAAACAACATGTAATCTGAAAGGGTAAATTAGAAAAGTTGCTTAAAAAACACAAAAAAATAATAGTCCAGGCCTTGCCTTGTTGACAGGTGAGATGGTTATCATTTCTGGTACTACAGAACCCACAGACAGGCTGGCATTTCAATGGAAGGAAAAAACACAAGTCCATAGGGCTTCCTTAAAACAAAAGCCTCCTGACTTCATGACCAACATTTCAATTAGCTTTTAAGTAGGAAAGAGCAACAACGAATCATACTGAGGATCTACTGACAGATGCCAGGAACAATGGCATGTTTGTTATAACAAGCTATATAATTCTTTTGCTACTGTGCTCCATGGTGTATGTAAAAGTGTCTTTTCAAAATTAGGACAAATTCATCCTCTTAGAACTGGTCCTCGTGATGCAAGCAGTGAGCCCAATCCAAGTATCACGGAAGCCCACTGGAAATCCCACCAATTCATGTAAGAAACTTGCACACATTACAGTACTCCTGCTACATTCTATGGAAAACTGACAGGATTTTACCTGCACGACAGCTAAACAGCAAAGGCAGAGTTTTGGAATGCAGTTTTAAAGGCCGTTATGCAAACATTAGAATTAACAGTTTACTAGTAAAAGCTCAGATCCCGCAAATGGGAATGTGAATGCAAATAATCCATCAATAAACATATGGTCTTCTTCAGAGGCCACTATTAACAAATGACTCAGAAGGCTTTGAATTAGAATCCAAGAGTATGATACTATTCATCATCAAGTGTTTGCAAGACAGGAGTCTTCAGACAGGTCTTTACACAGAAGCCATAGAAGTGGGAAGAAAAAGTGATTCTTCTGCTTGAAGTGATGCTTAACTTTTGCAGTTTAGATATTCAACTATTATCTACAATTTAGTATAAAATGTAAATGGGTACATAACAGAAAACTCTGACTTTTTAGTATACACACTAGAGAGGCACATTCTTTGTTAGAAAACAGCATGAAATGCTTCTGCAGGAACTTAACTTCCTTTCACAGAATTTTTTTTCATGAAACTGCTTTTGATATAAGGCAGTCATATCTAGTTAAAACACAGCTCGCATAAAATTAGAGCTGCACCTAGTTTAAGATACATTTTCAAAATACACGTGTCATAAATGCCAACACCGAAAAATAAAAACGATAACTTTTAAAACCTGGAAGAAGAAAGCACTGGTTGTGACATTCTGTTAAAAGTTAAGGGCGTGAAAGGAATTTCTAACTGCTAGTCCAAAAGGATCTAGCTGTTTTACAGTATGCACAGTGCAAAAACCTTATTACAACAACCTCACAAAGCAATATTACCTCTTCCAAAAGAGCTCTTGATATTGTTGCTCATTGCTCAGAATGGCAAACATCCAGCATATTCACCATCAATAACAAAATCTACAGTGTTGTTATATTATCATTGCTACAGTATGACAAGAACTGAGGTGGTGATCTTAAATTTTCATGTTAAATTCTGAAGAACCCACTTTATCAAGTATATTATTTCTC